ACCCCCCCCCCAACCTCGGCCAACATGCAGGGACAGGAGCAAAATCAGCAGGAGGTCATCACCTGGCCAAATGATAACAGTAAAAGCAATTAACAGTTAAGTGCCAGACACTATTCTAAGCAATACATTAATATATTTAATCCTCACAGCAGCCCAATGGTTATTCTCATCCCCATTTTACAGATGAGAAAACTGAAGCCCAGAAAGGCTAAGCGTCTTGCCCAAGGTTGCACAGCTGGTTAGTGCTGTGGGGCTGGGATTCTAACCCGGGCGGCCTAGCTTGACATTTAACCACAACAGCCACAGCCTCAGGAACCAGAGACTTGCTCTTGAAAATCTGAATGGAAGAAACTCCCAGTAGATTCAGAGGACCCTATGGGCTTGCACTAAGAGGTCCTTTTGAGTCAGAGCTGGCTGGGCCATTTCTAGCCATGGCACGGGCTTGTTGGGGTATGAGAGGAGAAAAGGCACACACAAAAGCCTGTGTGGCAACCAGGGAGTGAAATGGTGACTGCCTTGGTTCAGATGGGCTTTTCAGGCCCCAGAATAAACCCTCTGTCTGCCAAGACACAGTCATTTCCAGGTTATAAGATTCCATGATTCCTAGCCCTGGCTGGGTAGCTCAGCTGGTTAGTGTCATCCTGATATGCCAAGGTTGTGGGTTTGATCCCTGGTCAAGGCACATACAAGAATCAACCAAGGAATGCATAAATAAGCGGAGCAACGAACCGATGTTTCTCTCTCTCTCTCTCTCCCTCCAAAATCAATTAAAAAAACAAAACAAAACAACTCCAGGATTCCTGAAAGGATGCCCTGGTCGGGGTGGGAGGTATTGGAGAGGAACAGGAAAAGTTTGGGTGGTCAAGATATTTGGGTGCCCCTCCATATGTGTTCTTCCATTCTTCTGAACATGGGTACACTAGATTAAAAACTACATTTCCCGGTCTCCCTTGGAGTGGGTTCCTAGCCAATAGGATGCAGCAGATGTGATGAGTGCCATTTCCATGTTCTGTTCTAAAAGGGAAGGGGCACTTCCCATGTGCTAATATACCTCACTTTCCTCCTATATTACTTACCATGCTCTGCAGCTGCTCTGGTGGGCTGCTCTGCGGCGGGGCCAGGGGTGGTATGGGAGCTGGTGGGGCAGGAGCAGGGGGTCCTGCCCTGGCCTCCGATCCCTCAGAGATGGAGGACAGCTCGGGCTCGGGCCCCCCAGGCCCACCATGGCGATGGAAGAGGCGGCTGATGATCTGCTGGTACTGCTTCTTATGGGTGGGGGGCAGGGCTACAGCAGGGCTCTGTTCCATGGAACCCCTGCGTTTGAGGGGCCGCGGAATCTCTGCCAGCACCCGTGCCACCTCCTCCAGCTCGGGCACCGACTGTGCCTCGGGTGGCAGTGCTGGCTGCAGCCGCGTGGGGCTGAGGGGCCGAGTTACAGTGCCTTCATCTACATCGCCAGCCTCCAGCACTGGTACCAGCAGCCCCTCCAGCTCTGGTTCAGGCTCCAGCTCAGCAGGGGCTTTGGGGATACCTAGAAGGAACAGAGGGGTTCTCAGGAGACCCCCAACACTCCCTCCCCACAATTTCCAAAACCTGCAAGCAGCACCTGATTTGCTGTGTGACCTTAGGGCAGTTCCTTGCTCTCTGGGTTACACTTTCCCTGGGCTGTGACTAATACAATGATGACACCTCCCACTCATCAAGCACTTAGCATGTAGCTGGTGCTTTACATGCCTGTCATATTGAATTCTCACCTCACTATCCTGTGAGGTAGATATGTCTATCATCTCCTTATTACAGAAAGGGAAACTGAGTCACAGAGAGAGGAAAGTCAGTTGCCCAATGACAAAAAGTTGAGATTTGAACTCAGTTCTGACATTATGACAAACTTGACATTCTAAGATTCTGGGAATTTCCTCTCCTAATATGTCGGGCAGAAAACTCCTGCTGGGACGAGGGTCCTGGTCTTGATGGTCTCTTCTGTCTGTCTCATTCCTCTCTGTCAGAGCTTTTAAAGCTAGTAGAAATAATAATGATTACCTTCTACACAATATTATACATTGAATGCCCATCAGAATCTGTGCAGTAGATATTATTGATCTCTCTTCACAGATGAGAAAACAGAAGCTCAGATAGGTTAACTAATTTATCCTGCGTCACACAGCATCAGTGGTGGAGAGGGGCTCAAAACCCTATCTACTATACATCAGGCCCTATTTTAAGGACTTTATATGAATTAAATCTAATACCATATCCCAATAAGATAGGTTCTATCGTCGCCTTTTACACTCAAGGAAACTGAGGTTCAGAGAGGTTAAGTGACTTGCCCAGGTCACTCAGCATGGAGCCAGGCAGTGTTATTGCGCTATCTGTCCCTAGCTCCCCAGCAAATTCCTCAGCTTGTCTGGCCTAGCTCTCTGCAGGGACAGGGTCTGAACACAGGTGTTTGGCTGCGATGGCTCCCTCTGCTGGTCTGGCCCTGTCAATTGGCCTCCCTTCACCAAGCCCTCTGGAACCCCCATGGCTCACTCACCTTCACTCCAGGTCTGTTGGGGAATCTGGGGCACTGGGGCAGGGGGTTGAGGCTGAGGCTGTGGTTGTGACTGGGGATGTGTGGGCATCTGGGGCTGGGGCTGGGGCTGGGTTGGCAGCTG